ACGGGGGGGGGGGGGAGCAAAACAGGAAAAAAATGCAGAACGAAAATATGAGCCGTCGAGGTTTGGCGAACGCGCGAGTCTGAAGAGAGATTTTGTAAAACTTTAATTTATTAACTTCACCTATATTTTACTTTAAACAAAAAATTCAAATCTTTGTAGCTATAATCGTACAGCTATAACCCGTGGCGTAGCCAGACCTTAATTTTTTTTTTTTGGGGGGGGGAACCTCACCGTCTAAAAGGGTCCGGGGGCATGAACCCCCCGGAAAATTTTGAAATCTAGGGTCCCTGAATTGCGATTTCACGCATTTGGGGGGTGAAATCTAGCAGAATTCCGAAGATTATAAAGTACATCGAAGACATGAATTTTTCCAGACATTTCTACTCGGAATTAAATACATTGGAAAAGTCACCTTGAAAAATAGGAGGAGGGGTCAGTGTCACCTTATTTCCTCTCTGTGATGCTGGGGGGGGGGGAGAAAATCCCAATGTGATTTTGATCAGAAATGTTGCATTTAAATCATTTTAGGTTCTATGAGACACCATTTCCGCATTCTCAAAATTGCGTTGCTTTTTCATACGATACAGAATAAATCTGAGAAGAAATATTCATGCTATGATGATGATGCATACATGTATTTAACAGTTAAAAATCTAAACTAAATCTATTCTTTTTGGAGCCAGCATTTTATCGGATTGTTTGCATGAAATCTATCGCTATTATATGAAATACTCGGTGAAGAACAATATGAATTACACACAAGATGGCTGTGGTCTGTGGAGGAGGCTATGGAAGGGCATAATCTCATCTCATTTTAAGTAAATCAACTGCAATTCTGACAGCAATCATGAGCAATTCTGCTTCGCACTTCGGGGGCAGAAATAGCTTTACTGGGGGGGGGGAATTCTTTCCCTGGGGGGGGGGGCAATTGCCCCCCCCCCCAGATATATAGTTAAAAAAGGCACTGTTTTGGGTGGCAAAAATAATGGTGTGCACAATGACACAAAACCTTATATGCAGAAGGCCAACCTCTTGCTTTCGCCTATGATTTTGGCGTAACCGTTGCAATATTGTCACCATGTTCCTAGCCAGTGCGCTTATGAGAAGCATTCACCCCATATTCAAAATGGTGGACGTTCAGGGGGAGAGGTGGAAATGCCTCTCATAAACGCACTGGTTAGCAATGCATTTTGATGACGAATCATTGCGAATCATGGCGTGGCAGCAGTTACTCTTTTTTTGGCTCGTGGACAACAACACCACGTTACGGCGGTAAAATGTTAGTAGCGACCTTAAGCATGTAGGACAGGAATGCGATGGCGACGGTAAACAAACTCGTTGAACAAAATGATTGCAGCAGAAAACCTGTCGTCTGTTATCCATCGTATGAAAATAATACAGTTTAAGGATCAAAATTATCACTGGGTTTATGATTGAGAAAAGTTCTAGGACCCAATTTAAAATAGCAGTGCTCCCAGCTTGACATGTAAGCGTTGTATACAAGACGTGATAATCTGTATTTTGCCGTTGTAAAACAGAGCTACGGCGACGTCTAAAACGTCTGTGGATTTTAATTGTCAATTTCTGCTCATTTTCTTGCATTAATATGTTATTAATATGCTGTTTTCGTTACACTTTCGTTCTGCTTTTTGAAGTTCTTAATAACGGTAGTTAGTTATAATAAAAAACTGTAACATTTAAAGCGCTTTCTTGACACGTCCCCGTACTAGATTAAGCTTTGCTTAAGTTCGCTAGTGGGGGGAAGGGGGGGGGATCCAATCATTCTGTTATCGTGGGACATGTTCCCGCTGAAAACGTTTCTATTTTTAACATCTGCGAAACGCTATTTCGTGCATTTTATACACGTTTTATGGTAATCTGAAAGCCGCAGATTTAGTTTATTTTGTCATAAATGAAAACAATTAAGGTTACACCTTTCCCCCTAGTTCTCTTCAGTTTTGAAAGAATTACAAAATTGGGAGCCCCCAATGCCTCCGTGGCTACGCCTCTGTCAACAGTGTTTGTTTAATCCGAGATATTTTACTTACATTATCAATCGCAATAACGCCTCCTGGTCTGAGCAACTGCAATCCTTTCTCATAGTAAGTATCATAACTGACTTTATTCGCATCAATATAAATAAAATCAAATGTACCACCTTCGCCTGCTGCTAATAGTTCATCTGCAAAAAGTAAGACTTTTATATTCGCAAAGAGGCTGGTAAACATTGTGCATTTTATTTGAGAAACGGCATAGTTTGAAGTGTGGTGTGAATAAAACATGCATACGTAAATTAGGCCGTTTGCTGCGTCCCGATATCGTTCACTTTCATTTCCTGCAGTCTTGGAACTAAAATATTTTTACGGGAATTAACATTTCACACGCTGAGTTCAAATTCGAAAAGTTCTCGCTCCATAGACTCGCAGTTTTCTCACAATTTTTCATTGTTTATCGACACGGATCGATGACGACAGACGATTATGTCACTCAAAAGGACCAATTTCTATTAACCAGTCTTCTTTTCAACCAAAGACTGTTTGGCTCGAATCATTTTGAGTTATGCAATTTTATGCGTAAACAACATATAGTATCTTGTCTACAACTTTGAGAAGGTACAGATAACGCTTTCTAAAATTCGCAGTTCTAGCGATCTTTCTATAAAATCACAAGGACGTTAATGTTTTTGACTATGTCACTGGCATGAAAAATAGTTCTTTTAACGCGATCAAGGTAAGCCAACGTGAAGGCAAAGACAACGCTATGAACGAAATGTTGTCGATGGGTTGCTGATAGAAGACTTATCTTAAGACAGGATCAATCTTAAATAACGTTAAACTAGAAGATTAAATGTTCACATCAAAGACAAAGATCAGTGCCAATGTATAAAATCTGCTCTGTAAACTTACGACGAAGTGGAGAAATTTGTGCATGAGTTGTTTATTTGGTGATTCCAACGTATATGGAAGCCATCTTTCCAATAATATTCGCTTATCGCACAGAATAACACCAACTGATATAATAGTTCAAATGCAATGATAAGTTACCTCTTGAATTACGCCTCAGAAACTGTGTTGAAAATTTAATATTATCGTTTTAACATAGTTGTGTAAAACATTTTGATTGCTTGTAAGGAATTATTTCGCAGCCCAGAGACATAGCCCAAAGACTTAACATTAAAGTCCTTGTGATTTTATAGAGATAGAATTGAGGTTTTAGAAAGCGATATCGGTACCTTCTCAATGTTGTAGACAATTAACATCTCAGTGTTTACGTCCAACGCGCTTAAAATTACATAACTCAAAATTCCAATTAAGCAAAACTATCTTTTTTTAAATGTAGAGACTGGTTCATAGGAGTGAGTCATTTTGAGGTATATACAATCGTTTATCTTCATCCATCCGTGTCGATGAACAATGATAAAATTTGTCGTGAAAATAATGAAGATAAAATAGCAGTTTGTGAGTAACTGCAGGTCTACGGAGCGAGAACTTTCAAATTTGAACTCAGCATGTTCGAAAGTGCTGGTTCCCGTAAAAATATTTCAGTTCCTGAGTTACAGCCTCTTGGAAAATAAAAGTGCTGAAGTCAGCATTGTTTTCGAACGCCTTCAGAACTGTGTTATACACAAAATTTAGTTAAAAATTCTTGGTTAAGATTAAGACGGGACTTCTTACCTGATCAAACACTTATTATTTATTACATGCGGTAAACGAATATGTTAAAGACATCATCAACACATGAATTTCTTTTCGTTCAATACATCAATATTTCAGGTCTCAAATGCACACCTTCATAATTCATTACTTCATAATTTATGAAAATGAGGCTCCCAGGCTTTAAATCAATTGATGAAATTTAAAAAATCCTTTCAGACTATACGTTCACACTACACCGGAGCGAAATAATGCAGGCAGAATTTACGTGTGTTCACACTTACGAGTTACGTCGTTACAGTTCGTTAGAGTTACAAATTAAATTACCACTCATGTAAACCCATAGAGCAAAGAAATTTAAACGACAAGCATTCGAATTTCCTATTTTGAGACCCAAGAGTTTTGTTTTGCAAGTGTTACAAAAAATAACGACATTTCTGTTCATACGAAGCGGCAAAGCGCTCCGTTTTCATCTCGATCCGTTTAGAAAGGG